TTATCTTTATCTTTATCTTTATCTTTATATTTATCTTTATCTTTATCTTTATCTTTATCTTTATCTTTATCTTTATCTTTATCTTTATCTTCATCTTTTTCTGTTCATTTATATATATTTTTCTGTGTTTCTACAACAACAACATACCGATTTTCTTGATAAATTTCAAAGCACTAAAACCTACATAAACAGAAAATCTCTCTCTTTAGTAAGTTACAAAATTTCCGCTAGGGTCACTTCTCAACTTGCGAATACTCTTACTTTTTACATTTCCACATTGTAACAACAACAACCAAGTTGTCATGCATTCTTGTGCGGCGCCATATAACTGCGATTATCACGGCATGCCAATAAATTTGCTGCTGCGCTGGTGTGTCTATATGTCATTATTGCACGCATGCGTGTACATGTATGCATACATATATGTGCATGAAAGTATGCAAATTGCAGCATCGATTTATCTTACTTATTTGTATTGCTTTTACTTTGCGCATTTGCTTTTGCTTTTGCTTTTCTAACACAAAGCTTTTGCAACGTTCGTGCCACTATGCTGCAGTGCAAGTCGCTGGGACTAGTTTTTAATCTGCTGCGAACGCTACTTTGGCTGTTGTTGTTGTGCCGTTCGTTATTGGTGCTATGCGTTTGGAGTCTTTTGAATCGGCGGCGTATAAGATGCCTTGCCGATTTATTTGTTAGTTTTGTGAGACTCGCGCTATTCTTCTTGTGCTCGGCGCACTCGTAGTGTTATGGCCAGCAACAAGACAAGTAAATAAACTTTAAATATCAAACTGTCATCGCTATCTAACAGAATGGTTTATGGCTTACTAACTTAGCTTACTACGTCAATTATGTGGTTGACAATTTCTTTGATGTGTTCACAAATTGCAGTTAGTTAAATGTATGTGTGCTTGTGGGTCTGAATTGTGCAGTTAGTTCCCGCGGTATGTCAGGTATTCATCATTGTTGTGACAAATATTCCGACGACGAAGATTGCTATTTCGTTTGAAATTTGTGTGAAAATTTAGGAAGATTTGATGCTATTTTTGGTTGAACTCTTTACTGCATTTTGGCGTATAAGTATTATATAATAAAAAAAATCCATTGAAGCCGAAATGACTTTCTTCTTTTTGATTGACTGCCGCAAATATATGACGTAATAAATAGTCGGAAATAGTAAATTATGTAAACGATGAGACGATTCAGTCTGCCAGATATGTCATCCTTAAGTAATAAGAAACCCTTCAAGTCTTTACTCTTAAAATAGAAGTATTTTATAAAACAAACAAATTTTTTAAAAAGAATTTCACAATTAGCGTGCTCAGTCGCCCTGAAACCAAGCCTGCTTAAAACTTAAAAACTTTCTTCTCAAACATCTAAACCAAACTTTTCAATCAAATCTAATCTTTTTTTATATGTGCAGAGTTGAGTTTTTACTTACGCGCCCAGCACGGTGTAGAATTCCATAGTGAAATGATAGTAGCAGATACGTGGTGGTTCACCCTCACGGCAGGCACGTGCGCACTCATCTGGCGCCGATAATGTCGGATTGCGCCTTAATTCGGCGGTGGCACTGGTGGAGAAATCCAAATGACGGAATGGCGATTGTGGATTGGGATCGACTACGGTGTTCGCAATAGTCGGATACCGTGCTGTATTGAATTTTGGCAAATTTCCACGCGAATTCAGATAACCACTGCCAACACTAAGCGTATTGGACAGACCGCCACCGCTACCCAGACTATTGCCATTCAAAGGCAGTGGACTGGGTACGCTGGCGCCCAATGAGGGATGTGTCTGTACGACGCCATGTGTGGCAGAGAAAAATGGTGACTCCAATGGCGATGTAGTCGCGATACGTGGTGTGAACAGCGAGCCGGCAGTCGCTTGATCTGGAAGATAAAAATGAGAATTATGTTAAAATTTGAGTTGTAATTTCGTAATCAAATATTATAGATCTTCTTTGTGTTTTGATTTTGTTTTTCGTTTTAGTATACATAGCTTTTGATTAATTGAGGTGTGTGACTTTGCTAAAATCAACCTAAATGTAGACTACAGTTTTACAATATTTTTGAATATTTAATTCGAATGGTTGCCTACATTTAGCGAATTACCTCCTTTATTTTATTACTAAAAAATGCAAACATTGAGGCTTCTATTCAACCGTAATATTGATTCTATACTAAAATAGTTCTTTAGCTTAGTTAAGCGCTCATTACTACTTGCTTAACACTTTTAATTTCTGCACAATCGAAATATTTTTTCTTTTCACTACTAACTATTAGGTATTATTTGCTAGTTCCTTTAATAACTAACAAAGTAAATCGATTTTAATGAAATCGAAAATATGCTAATACAAAGCAATAGTACGCCCATTGCTCACGACTTCCTAGCACCTCAGCGCATTAGCAGCTGGCGCATGCGCATTCAATCGCATTATTACTCACAATTTGCGTGTCATTGTCGGCGTGAAAATCAGCACGAGGCAGTTTACATAATTTCGATTCTTTTTGGAGCAGAAAATTAAGTGTCGAAAACTTTGGTGGCGCACAAAAGCAAAAATTAAAACCGATGGCATGGAGCAGAAACAAATAAACAATAGCAAATAAAATAATTGGGTTCTGCTAACAAAAGAAAAACTAAAAAGTGCAGAGAAAAATACCTTGAAGCTAAACAAATAAATTAAGAGAGTCTGCAGAGTCTACTGAAGCCACAAGCAGGCAGCGTAAGGTCCCAGAGGGCAGCGCTGAGGTTGAGCTATTTTGGGTTGGGTAGTTTGCTTGTGTGTATCATTTGTTTAGAGCTTATTTCAAGTTGAATAAGTTTAACGTTTCATTATAATTGAAAAGCAAACGCAGGCGTCGGTAATTCTTTTGATATTTCTGCGGCTTTTGAAATTAAAACCGCTAAAAAAATACAAAAATAATAATAATAAATATATAAAGGCGCAGTTATGCAAATTACTTTTATTTCCTCAAACATTTTACGATTTTATTGACACTTATTCGCCACATATTAGCAATCACTACGCATAATCAAACCACTGGCGCTGGTTAACGCCAACTCACTTCACTTTTTTAATGTTTGTTGTTATTGTGTGGGGTGAAGAAATGTTTTACTATCACTTTTATGTACAAGTTATACCAGTGTATTGTTAAGTTGTGAATATGATTTTGCTTTCACGCAAAATTAACATTACAAGAGCTTAGAAAGCAATGACATGAATGTCAAACAAAATCAAAAAAAAGCTAATAATAAACATAAAAGCAAAAACTCATACAATTTTATATATAAATTTAAACAAAGTAAGCCAAACAACAAATTAGCTACCACAAATACGCTACCACAAATACTCTACCACACATTCACACACACACTTGCTTGCCGCAACGCTTGACGAACTGCCTGATGTTTAGCATTAAATCCTTGACATTGACTGATGGAAAATGGTTATCAACGAATGGTTGCGGCTTAAAGTGTTTAGCCAGCGTCAGTGTGTTTTCCAGATTTTCCATTGCTTTGTGCTGCTTAACTTTCAGTTTCGTTGTGGCCGTCACATGCGTCTTAAACAAATACCATAATCTAACTGTAAAGTAGCATAACAAAACAAATATTATGCTATGTGTCTACAGCTGTGTAACCACAACAACTGAAACTACACTTTCCAATTTGCACACAAAGCCACATTTGCGCTTATGCGCATATATAGTAAGGCAGCCAGCCAGCGAGTATGTGTCTTAAGTCTTTTGAGTTGAATGTCAGTCAGTATTCAGCATTGTATGTGCAACACGAAAACCGGTACATAGCTGGTGTAACATAGCTGGTGTATTGTCTAGCAGAACACAGACTACGGCCACACCAACAGCAATAACACCAACAAAAACAATAACACTAGCAACAATAATAACGCTAACAACAATAATATCAACAACTGCTACCGACTGACCTTTATGGCATGCCACTAAAATAGCTAGTATTATTGTTGTTCTTCTTAACCGTTGTTTGTTTGCTGATGCTGCAACAAGCGTGTAATGCACGCTATACTTAAGCTTAAGATGGGTGCGCCTCCCTATTTGACGTTTCAGCGCATTGAGGGCGAAATACATACCTACCGACAGCTGGCAAAACAATTGCCAATCGATTGCCAGGTCGCACAAAAATGTCTGACTGCTAAGTAAAGTTTGAAAAGGCATATACTGTTGCTAATTTAATGCTACGCCGACACATGTGTGCGGTGGGGGTGTGCATGTAGTTATTGTTGTTTGTAATGTTTATGGCAGAACTTTTCAAGCATCACAGCACTTTATGGTCGCACTCATATCGTCGACGTTTAGCTGCTTCGCTGGCAAAAAGGTGACGACGGCTGAGGGCATTAAGGCCCCTTAAGACACACGCTTGAGTGCGCCACGAGCAAGTGAGAAAATAACAACAAAGCGTATGTGGAAAAGATAAGTTTGTCCATTCAGTGAGCAATCAACAAAGTGTTAGATATGTTTGTATATATGAATGTGTTTTTGAATGTATATTGTTTTTGGGCTTATGTATCCAAACACACAAACACATTTAAATGCTTAAACAAACAACGCATTAACAAAAAACTTTGTTGGGGTAACGGAAAGCTTACTAAATTGCACATTTCAACGCAATGCATGCATTAGATAATCGTAATGTTAATTAAGTGGCAATTTAAACAATTTATATGAGCAAATATTAAAATTAGTGCAGTTGGTATTTGTAGAAAAATTCAAGGTTGCGTAAATTTGCAAAAAATGTAAAAAAGAATAAAAAAAAAATAAATAAATAAAAAGCCCTTCACAGAAAAATAAGTTTCTAAAACAGAAATTTTGGTTTTAATCGGCCAGTTTGTAAAGCTGCTGTATGCTATAGTGGTGCTATTTGATCAATATATATTTAGGTTATGGCGTTGCCTTGAACAAAATTCCAAATGAAATTTCGTGAAGATATTTTGTCAATTTGAAAAAGATTTCGAGAGGTCAGCTTGTATGAGAGCTATATGATATAGAATTTCGATCTGAATAGTTTGTTCGGAGATAGTACCTTTGTCTTAAATAATTATTCATGTCAAATTTTGTGAAGATATCTTTACAAACAAAAAAGTTTTCCATACAAGGACTTGATTTTTATTGTGCATTTTGATATCGATGGTTCCGACAAGTGAGTAACTTCTCGTTTAAGAAAGAACTTTATTAGAGTTTCAAATCGATATCTCAAAAACTGACTTAGAACTAGTTCGCATGTATGCTGATAGACAAATGAACAGGGCTAAATCGACTCATCTTGTATATTATATATACATATGTACACTTTATAGGGTATGCAGCGTTTCCTTTAGGATATAAGAAACTTTGTGGCAACTGTTTGGGGTATAAAAACATTAGTACGCTGAATAGATCACTAGCTGCCAACATTCTAAAGCCCAGAGATGCTCTATGAAATAGTATCAAAAGTTACCTCGCTTACTCTTGAAAACCAAATAAATATAAAGTAACAAAAAATGTGGTTTTATCCAATGTCACTTTTACCACAGCTGTCAAGATTCATTAGTTATCAATTGCAAATTCAAGTGCAATGCGATATAAATCAATTTATGGTCTAAACCAAAGCTCTTGAACACTTTCCTCACAAGTGTGAATCTATAAAACTACCAATCAAAATGAAATAAATACCATAGTCACTCAAGTATTTTCAAAAAAAAATATGAAGGATATAAAAAAATTGGGAAACCCTATAAAAATTATAAAAACTGAAGGAAAAAAAGTTTTGAATAATATTACAATATTACAAACAATATTGTATATATATATATAAAAAATAATATAAAATATTTTCTATTAAAACTCTGTTGAACTTATTTGTAGTTCAACCATGACCACTGAGCGCGAGAAACAGATGCGGTGATAACTCAAACCAAAAACCTATAAAAAAATGCAACTCAGCGTTACGCCGAAAATCAAGACAGGACTGTAAGCAGAAATAGTGTGGTGAAGCAGATTTGATGTGACAAACAAGCGTAAATTTGCGCTAATGATTATATGCAGCCGACTTTTTTTTTGAAAATTGAATAATTCGATTCATAGCCTAAACGATTTTCACTTTCAGCGCCAACTTTATTGGCGATTTCGGAATGGGCTCTACAGTTTTACTCTGCTTTTTTATTATAACTGTTTTTTAATTTTTTTTTTTAACTTTTTTCTTATTCCCCAGTCATTCATTCATATCTTTGTCAAATGTTCAGTGGACAAATGCACATGTATATTGCCCCATTGCCGCGTCTCTCAAGCCAAACTGTGACCAATTTGTGTTACATTCGCCACTGACAAGGTTAATGTTTTTTTTGTTGTTGAAATCGTGTACTTAACGGCTTTGGCTTGCCGGTGCTATGCAGTCTGGAACGAAACCAGTGATTACCGTTTACCACTTTCAATTTCAGCAACACCACTGCAAGCCGTCTGTGTATGAAGTGGAGGAGATAATCAATTGATTGAGAGAGTGATTATGTTTAGTTGGCTAAAATGAGCGCTAGGGTATATTTATACATATGTCTTGAAGGTGTAGGTTCAAGGTTATAAATATTAAAAAGAAGCGATTTTTTTGTTTAAAAGTTTGCAAATGACTATATAAAGCAATTTATTGATTAATTTACACACTGATTGTTAAGTTAGAATTTATATTTGTCAATTCTCTTTAATTTGAACATTGATTGATTTTCCCAAGATAAGTTTGCTGTGGACAAGCACTAACCGTTTTTAATGTAGTAATCGAAAAAACAACAAGTATAATCGCAACAGAGTAGTATAATCAAGTAGAGATAAAATCATCAGGTGTTTCAACAGTTTATGAGGAATCAACATATCCTCTCATACTTTTTTCA